TATATATATATACGTATATGTAGGGCTTGTTGGCAGTTAGGGATAGTATTAAGCTTAGGATTAGGCTTCGAATAGCGGTATTGGTTGGGTTAGGGTTAGGCTTAGGGATATTGTAATGTTAGCATGAGGGTTAGCGATAGGGTTAGTTTGTGGAGGTTTGGGGGTAATCATTGATTCTTGCCAGGTACCATATCGATATGATGGTATCCATATGATACAGTCTGTAATGACTAGTATTACAAAAAAGCGTGCAACGCCGTTCACAAAAACACAATAAAGATATTTAACCAGCAGTATTACCAGAAATATTTTATTCTACACTCCCACACCATTTCTACACACATACACAAAAAACAATTAATTTAAAATCCTATTGTTGGTAATAAAACAATCACATTCTAGTAACTACTATCTTAAATGGATAATCATTTCAGATTGTTTCCAAAATATTCATTGCTGTTAAAAATAGTTAATTAAATTATATATTTGCATATGATTGCATTAATTTTTGTAAATGAATTTGAGAATTTTGCCATTGGTTTGGAGAACAAGAGTTTTTGAGAGTTGAAGCCATCACCGGGCAGTTGTTCCAAAAACATATGATTAATTAAATAATTAATTGCTTAATTAATCAATAATATTTCATTTTATATTGATTATTTAATTATTCAGACATTTATTTATTCATTTATCTATCATTCACATATAATGCGCATGTCGCGTCCCTGACACAAACATACCCATTATTGTGAACCTATGATAATCTGTAACTTTCCTCTAGAATTTGTACCAAGATACCAAGATTTCCAAGTAGGCATAAAATTTTGCCCTTCTGACGGAGGGTCCAGCCATAGCAGCAGTAAGGCGGGTCAGTGAGCTGTCCATGCACACGTCAAAGAAACTCGCACTCCCTGTGCATGCCTGTGTCTCCCCGACTGCAAAATGAAGACAGATAAATTATGTATCATTTCATTATATTTTCAGTTGGCAGGTGGCTTCGTATAAGGGCGTTATTACCAATTTCATAGATAGAGAGACGGATGGATGGATGAATGAATTGATTGATGTATGGATGGACGGCTTTGCGTATGGATGAATTAATAGATGGACGGAGGGAAGGATGGATGGATAGATAGATGGATGGATGGGTGGGTGGGTGGATTGATTGATTGATTGATGGATGGATAGATAGATGGATGGATGGGTGGGTGGATTGATTGATTGATTGATGGATGGATGGATGGATAGATGGATGGATGGGTGGATTGATTGATTGATTGATTGATTGATTGATTGATTGATTGATTGATTGATTGATGGATGGATGGAACTATAGATACATCAATAAATGCAAAAATGTATTTACAAAGGGTTGTATCCAGTCGCGTCGGTGCATAAAGACGAATGCCTGGTCGATCCGCAATTGTTCACACCGGGCAGGTTGCTAAAAATTAAAGAGCCATGACTAAATACTGACGAGAATCGTTCTCAAAAAAGTCAATGTATTCGTTAGAAAGGGCTCGACTGTCCTAAACCATATTCAATCTCAGAAAAGTAATGAATCATAGATTGTTCTTCACTCGCATCACTTGTTTTATTCACGTATTACTTATTTTCACTTATTGTAGTGGCCCTTCTTAACCCAATGTAGCGACCTTACTGCTCACATTGCAATGATCCTTGTACCGCATTGTAGGGACAGTACTTGTCTTATTGAAATAGAGTTGGGACCCTATCCGTTTGTTATTCATCAGGGGATTCTGATATTGCTAATGAGGATGTTACTAGAAGTGATAAACATTGAGTGTGAAGTGTTCAATACATACCCCTGTACTGGAAAGTAAAGCCGAACTGGTAGTTGTAGTTAGCTTGAGCGATGACCACCATCTCATTTTGAGTTGACGTGATTATTGCACGCACGTGTAAGTTCACACGCACGCACGCACGCACATGTACGTACGCATGCACGCACGCACGCACGTGTACGTGCACACGCACGCACACACTCATGCACGCACGTGTACGTGCGCACGCACGTATACATGCACATGCACACGCGCGCACGCGCACGCGCGCACGCACGCACGCACACTCATGGGATTTGGGAGCTATGCAGGCACAGCTGTATATTTCGCCGTCGTTAAATTTCTCTTGCGTTTCGCGTGATTGACGGAGCAGTTCTTCATGCAGTGATTCTCATGCAATAGCGATGTTTCATGTGTAGTGAATTCGACCCGCTGTACAACATACACTATAGCATGCGTCAGCATTACTTCAACCTTGAAGACGTACGGCTTCGTAGCCACGTGGGCTAGCAGCGGATTGGAAAGGAAAGCCATGCTGCACCACTTGACCTATAGTTTAATTGGACGGGACACTTGCAGGTCACACGTGGGGGTTACATGACTGTGACCACGTGGTGTCCCACGGCTGTATATAAGCTGCGGCGTCCAGCTCCAAAGCAACACAGAGCCAGCTTGGCTCAGTCAGGGAAGCTTGCACCCTCCCACTGCTCTTTAGCTGCTGGTGGCTTGTCCGCCCTGCTAGCTGACCATGTAGGGTGTAGCGGAGCACGGTCTACGCAAGGATACACAGCGCAGGGCGAGGATCACGCCGCTTGCTGCCCTCTTCCTGACGAAAGGATACACAGTGCGGAGCCAGCTCGGTTCAGTCAGGGAAGCTCGCACCCTCTCACTGCTCGCGCACGCACGGACGTGTAAGTTCACACGCACGCATGCACGCACGCGTGTACGTGCACTACATAAACAGTGCTTTCTATCAGAACATGAGGTTATTCATCTGTAAATGTCAAGCAGCACGCTTCGCTTCTTCCAACCACAACACATAATAAATACACGTGACCTGATCTATGACGTCACGTGAAACATCGCTATTAGGCCTGCGCGATGGCGTGTGCATGTTTGCTAGTGAATTAGACCCGCTAAAATTCGAGATTTTCGCTGGCAGCAATTGATCCGTGGGCCGGCCTTTCGATTTGGCGCACGGATCAATAGCTGCCAGCGCGTGATACTTTCGTAGGACGTTCCCGCGGTCGCGTGCGCCTTGCCGCGGAACTGCGCGCAAGATTCGCGCTTAGCGGGCAGGATCAACACCTTTCAGGCGACGCTTCTCTGGTATCCGGTCTCTCATCTGGATCCTAACTGCTGCTCACTGCACCGTGTAAGTGTCATATGTTCCCGACAGATGTCGCCTTGTTTCAATGCTGTCACCGCAATTAATCGCTATTAATCGCAATTAATCGCAATTAATCGCAATTAACCGCAATTAATCGCAATTAAGGTGAGACGGTGGCGCTTATGGTTGGCCATCGTACTCAGAAATAGTTATTTTAACCGCGGTAAAAATAATGTAACTGCGGTTAAATTATATCACTTTTACCCAATCAGATGCGTTGTTGCACATAATTTAACCGCGGTAAAAATAATTTATCCGCGGTTAAATTATGTGTAACAAGGCCTCTGATTGGGTAAAAGGGTGTTTGTTCACTCACTCTACGCCTGCAAACGTTTACGTGTTTTCCGTATAATACAGGGAGACTCGGGTGGACCGCTGGAGTGTAGTGGCGAGCTGTGTGGCGTCGTATCGTGGGGCTATGGCTGCGGCTCAGCCAGCTATCCGGGAGTCTACACACGTGTGGCAAGCTTCAACACGTGGATCACCAACACGATTGCTAGCAACTAGGCAACGCGGCGCGCGTGACGTCAGCTCGCGCAAAATGTGACGTAAGCACATCTGGGCGTCACGTAATGGACGATAACGAGGAGCCGGGCATTGTTCACTTTAATTTACCTTAATTCCTTAATAATGGACATTTGACATACAAATTTCGGCAGGTGAAATTACTACAGGTGGCAAATAGCAGCGCAGCTTAACGTACTAGACATATATCGTTATTTCATATAATTCTATATTGCACTATTGTCAGCATATATACTTTCAGTCCAACCACAATATATAGGTTTAAACGTATATGTACTTAAAATATGAAATAATGTTAAAATCATGAAAGCCAATTTCTATTCTGGGCTATCTATCAGCGTTGCGGTAAAATACGAAACAGTAAAATTAATTAGCAAGTACGTTAGCTGTAGTAGTCTATAATGCATTGCCCACAATGCATGGTCCTTAGTCCTGATCTGTTAGGGCCATGAAACTACTTCGAAGTACGTGTGATGCTTTTCCTGTGACCGGTGCAGAAATACAAAGCATTCTGTTTGGCTATATATATCTCTCAGTTGGTTATATTTGATATTATTTATTTTGTTGTTATATATATTATATCATACATAGTAGTTATTATATTGCAAACATATGTAGATAACAAAAATCATCTGTATTATTTAGGGTATTAAGTACCTACCATCAACACTTTAATGAAGTTAAAAACACCTACTATAGATTCATTACAAGTATTCAAATTATTTGAATAATTCAGAAAAATTGTAAATTATTTTATACCGGATACCAATAACATGATTCACCGATATTATAACATATGACACGTACACACACGCGCGCGCGCGCACACACACACACACACACACACACACACACACACACACA